AATAAAAAATTGTGGGGGCAAGGGAGGAGCCATGTAGCAGCAACCTAGTATTAGAATATGTTTGCAAGAGGTGAGCAGTTGCTTTTGAACCATGAGGTCCCAGGTGAGCGCCAGTTCTGACAGCAGAACTGCCAAGAATATGTATGCAATATTCATCACCAAATTAACTGATGGCCTCAGTGGATTGATGCTAAAGCTGATATGGGTCTATCAAATTTAGCCACCACCCAACCTCTAACTTAGTAAGGACCTAATCATGAAAAGTACTTGCAGCTCAGTCTAGATTTACATAAAACAGCCATTCTGGTTTGCAGGGATACCAGCTAACCCACAGCTATCCTTGGCTTACGCAGCAAACTTAAAGCTAAAAGAAGGTTCATCATCTACAGAGGTATTCTGGTTAGACCAACAGCCCCAGAAAACATTTACTTACAGGGTACACACTTAAGAGAATCAGTAATTCTCCTAAATAAACTCAGCTAAGTAACCATTATAAAATAATTAGCAGGGTAATGAGCTATTCTTGTTGTTAAGGCATTGACATATGTGCTGGATCAAACATGTGAATAGTACAGATAAATTAGTTCATGACTGTAAAAAATCAACAACTAAACACTTCCCCCTGCCCCCTCCCCAGCCTGCCTGCATGACTTGGAGACAAAACCTTTTTGGTTATAATTCAGTGCATGCAGGAGAGCTGTGAATTTAACACCAAATGTCTCTTTAAACTGAAAAATTTATACGAATTCTTTTTACCTGAAAATCTAAGGGTTTGCCCAAACAAATAATGTACTCTGGAATCAGACAGGGTGAAAATTTAAAGTGCAATGTTAATCTAAAATAACTTCCGTGGAGACGTATCCTAAAGGTTTGATCCAGACTTTGTCATTGACTTCCACAGGCTTTGTATTAGGTCCTTAAAAACTTGTAACAACACTGAGTTTGCTGATACTGTTGTTTAGGCCCATTTTTAAATGGGTAGACTGAGGACCAACTTTACACAGAAAACAGAGATCTTCGTTTCCAGTGCCTTGCTCTAAGTGTTAGATAATGATGCCTTTACATAAACATGCATGTAAGAATATTTCTGTTGCAGAATATTGCATTTTTTTTCATTCACCCTTTTTCTTTTAGGTTTCATAGACCGTAGCAGTTCAATTCTTCCTGACTACTATGCCGTCTTAAAAACATAATTAAAAGGAACCATAAGTGCTGGTATTATTCACTTCCCTGTTATGTACAATGTAAATCTTCCAAACTGCCTTTTTAAAAAAAAAAAAAAATAGGAAAAAAAGATGAAAATTGTATTTACATATGATGGGTACTGCTCCTTCATCAGACCTGCTGGCACATCCCTCGATAAGAGAAAATACCCCTGGTGGGAGTCATGCCAAGATCTGGCACCTATGTTTAAAGACTTCCTGGCATGTGGATTCACCATATTTGTCCAAGCCCAGCTGATAGTGCATCCATTCTGTCTTCAGTCACCCCTCATCCTTGCAAGCATTTGTCATCCAACTACAAAGACCCCTGAAGCACTTGGTGTTGTTCTGGGAATGACTCTTCTGGGTGAAGTCTCCAACAGGCCTGCACCCCAAGCATTAAAGCACTTAAACCAAACATTCCTTTCTATTTGTGAGCACCTTAGAAGAAGGATAAGGGAGAACTACTATAAGGATCAGCCCATCTTGAACATTTTCTGAGTACAAAGAAATTCACATTCCCTGGAAAAGTGTGTGGCTGCCTGACCGTCACTGTTTTGCTTCCCAAGAAAAGAGCATGCTTCAACCAGAGCAGGATTCTTCATGGAAGGCTGGTTTCACTCCATCTTTTTGTATTTCAAAATGTACTTTTCTAAATATAACACTGAATCCATGCATTAAAAAAGAGGACGTTGTCAGCAAACATAAGAGGCTTCATTCCCCCCTGCCTTGTATCTTGTGTAGTAGCCTATGCCTGTGCCTCGTGATTGTAAAGAGGATGTAGAACACAACCCAATCAGGCTGTGTTTTATGTCCACTTTGTACAAGTGTCAAAGACAGCAGGTGCAGGTCTGTGAAGAATTGGGTCCAAGATTGAATTCCAAGAAGGTCCTTGTGGGATATACGCTGTCTCTCTGCATGTGGGAGATATTTCAAAGACAATGTGGGTATTAAGGGTGTGAACTTAAATCTGACTGAAAATAACCTCTCAGGTTGATTCCATTGTATTGTGGTGGGTGGTCAGAATTGGCTGCTGTATCCAGATCCAAGCCGTTCAGCAAAAAAAAAAATATGTATCTATCTCTTTCCCCCATTGGCATGTTTTTAACTGGTAAAGGGTCCGACCAGGGTTCAGTTGTGCGAGGAGCCGAGCACTATGGCTCTACTCAAGCAATGTACTTGAACACATACTTAGCTTTCGCTAAGAGCATCATTAGTTACTTTGCAAATGACAGTACTCACATGCTTCCTTAAAGATAAGCACAGGCCTCAGTGCTTTGTCCGATGGGGACCAGAGTGTTCAGCGCCCTGCAGAATCAAGCCCTTACAGAGTATAACCATAGCAAGCTACATACAACGCTGTATGTGATCCCATATAAGAAAACATTATGCTGTGCTGTGTAGGTGGTCCAAAGCACTGTGGTAATATCCACATAAGCAACAGGATTCTGGATAGTATCATTTTTATTTTATAATTTGTCTTTTGCATTTAAAAATTTGTGAAGAGACACCAAAGTTTTCTATGACCACAGTGTCTTTGTAAGAGGGTTTTCTCTATGTGTTACACGATCCCTCATTTTCTCACTTCTCTGGGTTGCTCTGTAACTGCAGCTCCCTCCTTCCACCTCAGTTTGATTTCTGACTATTAGAATCAGGTGGAGATTTCTCTCCCAGAAAGAAGCTGTCACCAATCCTGTGTAGTCACCCTGGCTCTGGTCTCATCTCTGCTTAGACTTATTGCTGGTCTAAATCAGGAGTAACTCCCTGGCTCAGTGGATCTAGATTAATCTTAAAGCTGAAGTAAGTGAAATAGACTGAGGGCTCTTGATTTCAGAAGGACTTGAGGGCAATATCCCAGGGTTAGGTTCTATATGGGAAATGTGAAAGCATTTTGTTCTTGTATGTGAGCACCATAATTATTTGGAGAATAATACAGGGTGAACACAAATAATTATTTGGAGAATAATACATGCTAGAGTATGGTGGAGGCCTACAACTTTTTAATTTTTACTACAGAAGCTGAAGAACGAAGTTGTCCTTTTGATTTGTGGTAGTAGGTCTTTGGAGTTAAATCCTGCACAGATTACCATGTTCTGCCTAGTGTTTTCCTGATAGTATATAAATACCTACAATGATCCCTATGCCCTGATCATGTGCGTAGGATATGTTTGTGTATCAAAAGAAAATAACCCCAAAGTAGAGACGGTTTCTCTCTGTTTGAGGCAGTGTTACTCTCCTTGGAACTATGGTCTGCCATTGACTACTGATCACAGCCTCAAATACAGGACCATGCCAATTAAAGTTCCTGGACCTACAACGCATTTCCTCAGACATGGGTTCATTAGTAGCAGGAACACAATGTGAAATGTTATCAGCACCGTGCAGAAACAGTAGAGAAGTTCTCAGCCTGGCATATATTGCTACATGCTGTTTTAGTTAAGGCATGGGGAGGCATATCTTAATTTGCACACACAGCAAGGAGGTGTTATGGCTTCAAAAAGAAGGAAAGCCAAGGTCTTGGCATTTGAGCATACATAATGCATTATCATCAAATAGGTGCAGGGCCAAAGATCCCTGCTCTGGCTTCTCTGCTTTGTTATTGAAGAGGGTCAGTCCTGCAGGATGGGTTGAGGAGCAACAAAAATCACAGTAGCCAGAACTGGTATGACTGTGGGAGGAACTAGAGAAAGGGCAGATTATCTGTTAAAAAGGAAAGGGCACCAAAAAAAAAAAAAAAAAGAAAAAGCATTGAGCAGTGTTTGCTGTGAAGATCTATCTACACTAAGCAACTCACACTGCACAACTAGATGGAGGAAATGCTGCCATAGCACTGCACCTTGCCCTTGGTGTACCAAGATACCAACCCCAGTGGGAACCTATCCTGACTGGGCTGGCCCTGCTCCACAGCTGTGTAGGGTGCATTAGACCCAGCTCTGGGTAACAGTGGAAAGAGTTTGTTTATGGTAGTATTGACATCCAAGCAGATGAGCATGATAATCTGAAATAGTAGTCAGTGGACCTGCTAATGTTTCACTACAGCAGTGCTGTTCAACCTGTTTCCTTGGTGGGCCAGATGGGGAGTGCCTGGTCCATCTGCAGGCTGGATCCAGCTCATGGTCCTCCTGAGCCAGTATCCAAGGCAAGTGCAGCAGTGCCCCATCCAGGGGGGGGCCCTGACCCAGTCATGCAGTGAAAGGGGGCTTTGCCTGGCCCCAACCTGGCCCAGTGTGGGTGAAGGGGCACCACAGCCTGGTCTCAGGGGGAAAGGGGCATGGCCCAGCCCTGATCCAGCCATGTACTTGAACTAGGATGTGGCCCAACCCCAACTGGGTTATGCAGTGGTGGCAGGGTGGAGGGCATGCCCCAGCTCTGATCTGCCAAGGGCTGGGGAATCTGGCAGTGGGGAGGGGTGGCAGTATTCATTGCCACTGCCCCACCCCCCAATTTATGGGGAGCCCAATGGCCAGAAGTTGAGCACCCCTGCTCTAGAGGTACAAATACCAGCATAATGGGCAACAAAATAGTGCTGAGGAATCCACCCTAAGTAAGTGCCCAACACTTTATCATGGAGTAATCTATGCTACTGAGCTGGTATTTTACCATTAATAATGCTTTGGGTATTTCACAGGCATTACCCTTTAAAAAGACACCTTGCTGAAAGGTCACTGATGACAAAAGACTAGATTGCACCCTTAGTTTGCATGTATAGCAACCCAATGACATTAATGGGCACTTCAGAGCAAAATGACAGGGGTTTTTTCACCACTTTTTCACAGAACTGTGAACATGTTCCCCATCAGACACTATGCTGCAGTCAAGTCATGCAGTACTTGGTATTCTTTTTTTGGAAAAGAGAAGCGTGTACACTTTTCCTAACATAGTCCAGGTGGAGGTAAGGATAGAGCAGATGCCTTCCCTTTGGAATAGTCAGTTATCAGCAGTGAGCTTCATTTGCAACAGAAGGCTATCTAAAAATAAGAGCAATGTATCTTGCTTGAAAAAGAAATAAATGTAAAACTTGCTTCACTGCATTATCGATCACTAAGTATGCAGAAGAGAAAAAAACACTAATGTTGAAAAAGAAAAATTGTCAGTAATAACCTAGTGAATCCTAACCCACTCTTAACATTTCTAAGTTGTAATGTAACTTCTGCTCCAGAAAGAAGCAAGAGCATGGAGTGATAGTAAAAATAACTGTAACACTTCTTGCTAAATGGTTTGAGAACACAACACAAACATCTGAGGTAAAGCAAAGGTGACATCTCTTCCTCCCCGCCCTTGCTAAAATAGTTGAGGCTAGACCTGGGTGGAGGATTCATAAATAACAATGTATTTCACAACTATAGCCCTTCTCTCTGTGTACGTGTTTTCTATTTGAGCAAGCTTTAGAGTGTACACTCTGGAGTGGAGCCCATGGCCTCTCTTGCACCCATAGTGCCAACACACACTGGGGGCATTTCCCAGGGGAGAGGCAAAATAGTGACTAATAATGATAGACTTCAATTTGTAGTAATTTATATTTAAAACCTTTCAAACAAACCCCTTATACAAATAAGATTTGGCTTAACTTTACTCGTATGCACTTTACTGTCTCATCAGCTGTTCTCCCTTCACTGACCGCATGGATCACACATTGTGTATGCAGACTGAATGGTTGAAATGGTATAAACAGCATAAATTTCCAATGTGATCAGAAAATACTTTAATTTGGATAAAAAATACTCATATTCACATATAAATGAGAGGCTTCTTAATATTCCTGCCAGTAAACCACTTTGTACAAACATTCACTGAAGGAAACGGTGAAAATTGGGGCCACAGAAATCAAAAAAATTGGGTGCAAATGACCATTTTTCCTCAGGTGCTTACCCAGCTCCACTTTAGGATGACTGATAATACAAAAATTAAGTGAAGGGCACATTAACTGCTTTTCCATGCGTCTCAATTACTTCAGAGCCAGTTGCATTTTCCAGTTGATATCCAAGTGTATGTACATAGTTCGTCTTTGTATAGGAGTGAATGTGGTGACTGTCAATCATGTGCTCTTCCAGTATTGTAATTTAACAGATTATGGCTGTATGAAAACATGTAAATAACTAGAAAAAAAATTAAACTGGATCTCTATGTCCTAGGTTTTGTACATACTGAAACTGCATGCTATTTAAATTATTGTTTGTCTCTATATGCAGTTTCTTAAAAAAAAATTTTAAAAAAAACCATGCCTGCTCTCATGTATTGTGTTACTCTCTCTGTCATGCTTTTTGCTCAATATTTCAAAAAAAAGGTATGTATTTGAGGAGAGCAGGGAAGGGAGGGCTGTTGGGTGCACCTCACAGACTTACCAGAATGGAGAATAAGCTCAGTTACTGGGGTCAGATCATCAGCTGATGTGTAGTGGTATGGCAGTGTTGATTTTAATGGAACAATGTCAATTATACCAGCTGTGAGGCTAGTCGAGGATCTATGAGAAAGTTCAACAAGTGAACAGGACCCCTGTCTAAAATGTCAATAAGTTCTGTAGAAGAATCCAGTCAACAAGTGAATGTCATGTTTGCCACTTCATTTTAAGTCAGGTCTGCTATAGACTCCCCTCATGGAAATCTGAAAAGCACAGCAGTTTGACGGATAGCAGCAGAACAATTTGTGGAGAAAGTGCAATCAGAAGAGCCATCAACAGCACTGGCTCACTGCAATTTAGCAAGAATGATGCCATGTCAGGCTCCTCCAAGCCCCATGGCTTCTGTTTCTCTTTCTTCATTTTTCCCCAATTGCTATAGTGATTGCAAAAGTTGCCAGCATATTGCAACTTTCTATAAGCCATAAAGCGAAACAAGATGAAGTGCACAAGAGAGGGTTGCTAACACTTGTGGCATGAAGCATCTAAAAGAGATCAGGTAGATTGCAATGATCCATGAAGTCAATTGACCCACTTAGCGCTACCTGGCTAGAAATGCTGCTACCATTGCCAGGCAGTTGTTTTTAAATTTGGGTGGCCTAGAAATCAAAGGGGGTGGGGGGGGTGCAAGTGCACAATCTCTCCGCCTGCCCCCCCACAACTGATCCATCCCTGCAGAAATCCACAACTCCCCTGCCTTGGGAGGCACAAGCTCACTGAGGTGACTTACAAAGTCAAGCTTCAGTTTATTGCGTCTCTGGTGTCTTTATGCATTTAACAGTCAGCTTTTTCAAGTTTAAAAGACAGCGTTAAACCTGGGAGAAGGAAGCAGAACCCCCTCCCGGCGCACATGCACGCACACACAAAATCCTGAATCTTATTACAGCCTTGTACATCATATTAAGAAACAAGAACTGAGGTCCAGGGTACAGCACAAAGGGGGAACTTCTACCTGCTTGGAAAGACTACAGGTCTTGTCTACACTTTGATCCAGGCCCAGGTGGTGCCACCTACCTATGTGGTGGTGATGGGGCATCACTGAGTTTAAAAAAAAATCCCTATGAGGAGCCCCTTTAGTCTTAACTGTTGCCAGTGTCAATTTGGACATGAGCCAGGGTGCTGTACGCTACAGCGAGGAAAAAGGGCAGGGGAGGGCAATCTTCCTTTTGATGTATTATCAAAGAATGAGAAACCAGGGTTAACACCAGAGAGCTAAATGGCAAAGTGCCAGGACTGGATCCAAGAGCTCTAAATGCAAGCTCATGGCCCCAATTTATCAGACAGGAACGGGTAGGGAGGAGAGGCTCATAAACTTTGCCCCACTGTGCCCTTCCCAGGGGAGGAATGATAGCTAGTATATCATGTTTGTATGATCATTGGGATTGCTTTGCTGACTGTGTGAAATGATAGCAGGTGCTCTGTCTCAGCAGGGCATGTAATTACTGCAGGGAGCTCCTTGAGAAGCAGGCCAGTGCCATCTGCCTGGCAGAATGGAAGGCAGCATCTGTCTGTGTTCAGCTTATGGATTCTGACTGATGCCGGAAACTCTTTAGTATTTTCTCACCTTCACAGGAGGTAAAAAAGGGCTAACATTAGGCAAAGCCAGTCGAAAGTAATCCAAAGCTTTCCAGCCTGTTGGGCTGATGTGCTTCAGGTGCATGGGTTTCTTAGCCAACGGCAAAGGGAATAATGTAACCAGCATTACTTCAAGCTACTTTTGAGTCCCCATGCTAAATGGCCAGGCACTTATTTCCAGCTGGGTTGACTGGAAGGAAGTCTTTGGCTTGAGTCCCAAGTAGGGCAAGAACTTGTGTTTCTGGAGCCACAGCAAGAATCCCTTAACCACTCTGCCACCACAGCTTGGCTAATCCTGGGGTAGTTAACTTTGAGATCCTCCATTCAAAGGGAGTCCCTACAAACAAAGAGCTGGCAGTGGCCCAAGGTGACATTTTACAATAAACAGTCATTGGCATAAATATTGAAAGGGTTTGTGAAACATGGATTAGAGGCAAAGCTACCCAATTTCGCATAAATGTCTCCAGATCCAAACTCACATGTCATGTGTGCATACTGTCTCTCTGTCTCTCACATGCAAAGTACAATGGCATCAACAGGAGGGTGGGCATGCATGACCCTCTCCTCCCCCAGAACTGTCTAGTGATTAAAGAACATTTCTAGAAGGTAAGAAGTGCAGGTGTCCCATCAACCAGAAAGAAATCTTCTCCATCCTGGGTAACTGCTCCAACCACTGAACTCTAACAGGATGGTAGAATCTAATAGGATCACCTGTGCTTTAAAGGAAAACAGGGGGTATGATAACGTTTTTCACCAAACCCAAGCTGATCTGGTCCCCCAGAATCCAGCTACCAGATGGAGTTAGTTGGCTCACTGGCTAGCTCACTTGCCAGAAACATGGGAGAACTGGGACAAATTGCTTCTCACTAAACACATTCACCAGTAGGAAAAAGTGTAGAAGATGAGGGCTCCTCCTTCATCTCTTTAGCCCAATGACTCATTAATTAGTCCAGGCAAAGTGAAGGCCAATCAGAAGAAATGTGATATGAACATCAATACCTGGAAGACTCGAGCACTGAATCTTCCCCAATGGCACCGTGAAGTATGACAAAGCATCAACCATTTTGAGCAAACTCACCTCACCATGGAGGCAAATAGGCCAGAACGATAAGAGGAAAGCTCTGTGACCCAACATCACCAGGATCCACTCCTTCCTTCTGCAACTGTATGCCATGTCTGACGTGAAACATGCAGATCTTGGATTGGCCTCTTCAGTTGTCTCCAGACGCACTGATGACTTCCATATCATCTGGAAAAATGTCATCCTGGTACCAAGGGACTGTTGGCACCAATGAAGATGTTAATTAGTCGAGGCAAAGTGCAACACAAGCTGAGAGAGCACCCAAGCACAGAGCACTGCAGCACCTAAGTCTTTTTGTGGATCCTGTTATTAGCTACTATCCCTCTCCTCTACACATAACTCCAAGACAGGTCACACATTTTACCAAAATCACCTCCCGGTCATAAAAAATCTGTAGTTCTATCAGTTAAACGCACTGAGTTCAGACTTACTGAATCTTGTCCATTGGCTTTATTTGTCATTTCAGTTCCAGAACTTCAAGAACTGAGCTACTTCCCAACCCCATCTCTTGCTATCTCAACCTGTTAAGCTTTCCCCTGTGCTTGACATTATCTTTATCATCTGGGGTCTTTGTCACACATTGCAAATGCTGGTCATAAACTGGGAGCTGGCAGAGTGAGAATTAGAGAATGGTACTTATTTTCAGCTCTGGACATGGCTGCTTTTCAGGAGAACCAGGCCAAATTGTGACTATTTTATTTGCTTGTCATTTGTTTTATGTATTTTCCTCTAAAATGGAATGTGTTGATGCTGCCTTTATTGTCCTAGTAAAAAGAAAAGGAATTCTAGCTGCACTCCACTCAGAAACATGCCTGGAGCAATCATACACAGGCAATGGCAGAGAAATAATGTAAATAAGGATTTCTGTTTCAAGCTTCTCTGGGAGAAAAAATTGCTTATAAACATTATAATCTGATATCTTACCATGCTCTTCATAAATTCACAGGGAGCTGACAGAAAAATGCAATAGCACAGTTAACCCCCTTCGGCATGGTATGCCAAATTCACATCTGGTACCACTGGGTGCAACTAACTTTTCTTCTTACTACTTGGATACAAAATTGGTAGGCACTCATTTCAAAGCCTCAATGTAATTAAACTAGGTAAAGGTAGGCGTATATACATCTTAACTACCCAAAGTGATTTTATAAGCATTTTTAACACGGTGTCACTTACAGTAGACAAGAATGCTTTCAACCATTTCATAGATTTTCATAGATTTCATAGACATCAGGGCTGGAAGGGACCTCGGAAGATCATCGAGTCCAGCCCCCCGCCCAAAGGGCAGGAAGTCAGCTGGGGTCATAGGATCCCAGCAAGATAAGCATCCAGTTTCATCTTGAAGGTGTTCAATGAAGGCGCTTGAACCACCTCCGGTGGCAGGCTGTTCCAGACCTTAGGGGCTCGGACAGTAAAGAAGTTCTTCCTTATGTCCAGCCTGAAACGATCTTGAAGTAGTTTGTGACCATTCGACCTCGTCATCCCTTGGGGCGCTCTGGTGAACAAACATTCCCCCAGATACTGGTGGTCACCCCTGATAAACTTGTAGGTGGCCATCGGATCACCCCTGAGCCTGCGCTTTTCCAGGCTAAAGAGCCCCAGGGCTCTCAGCCTGTCATCGTAGGGTCTGCTTCCCTGACCTCTGATCATGCGCGTGGCTCTTCTCTGGACTCTCTCAAGCTTCTCCACATCCTTTTTGAATTGTGGAGCCCAAAACTGGACACAGTACTCCAGCTGCGGCCTCACTAAGGCCGAGTACAGGGGGAGAATGATGTCCCGGGATTTGCTTGAGAAGCATCTATGGATGCAAGCCAGCGTTTTGGTCGCTTTACTAGCCGCCGCATCGCACTGCAGGCTCATGTTCATCTTGTGGTCAATGATGACCCCCAAGTCTCTTTCTTCCATAGTGCTAGCCAACATAGCACTGCCGAGCCTATAAGGATGCTGCGGGTTTTTTTTCCCAAGGTGGAGAACCTTGCATTTATCGGCGTTGAACACCATCAGATTCTCGTCCGCCCACTTGCTGAGCCTGTCCAGGTCAGCCTGGATAACCTGCCTGTCTTCTGGTGTGGATGCTTTGCCCCAAAGTTTGGTGTCATCGGCGAACTTGGCCAGTCCGCTTCGGACTCCAGTGTCCACATCATTAATGAAGATGTTGAA